CGCAGATTCGGCAATTAAAGATTCAGGTTTTATGGTGGAAAATAATTCAAAGCTTTCTAATTACCGAGTTATTAACCTTATATAAGAGTCGCGAGTGTCACGTATTATTAACGTAAGATTCCGCTATTAATTATGAGGAAACTTTCCCAATAGATTACACTCGTAAATCATCTTCCGTGATATCTGCGCGCGAGCAGATATTTAGAACATCATCTGGAACAACCGAAGTCCGAAGCCAGGTAGTGATGATCGTTGATGAGAAGTTGATAAATTCTCTGATGCACACGTGGGTAATAATGTGAAGGCGTATGCGCCTTACCGGTTTCAGTAACGTGTATTTTTCCCGCGCGGTGTCAAGATCGTAATGCATCGATCTTTAAGTCGTAGATCATCCGGCGATAGATCCCATTGCGAATATTATTGCAAGACCCATAGAGCGTGAGAACGAGCTGATACTTTGACCGTGTTGATTAAATGTAACCGAGTTTTAATGTCAATGATTGGAAAACGATGGCTACGTAATATTAATATAATAACAAATCATTTTTATTTTAAAGCATCAATGAGAAAGAAAAGAACATAACGATACGTTGATACAAGCCGAGTGGACAACAGCTAAACAACAACTGAAAGAAAATACAGCCAATTCCACGGAAGCAGGATCTTAGATGTTAAATTTTTAGATGAAGTGAATTCAAATAAAGAAAGAAAAGAAGAAAGGAATATACTTATATTTTTTATATTCAAGTTATTATAAATATATTGCATGCAGAGATACACAAATGTGATTCTCTGTCTTCTTTTGATATAAAATTAATTAAAATCGGGAAATTACGAATTACGTTAGACTCGTTCCTTAATTTAATTTATTTTTGGCTGTGTCGAGACTCGAGAAGGATTCGAAGAGGAAACTTAGAACAATTTCTATAGATGAGAGATGCTCGTGCGGCTAAGTGAAATCTCTTATTTTCAATGGTGCGGCCGATCTCCGACAGAATGCGGATGGTGTGGTAAGGTAGGAACTTAATAATCCGCAGTTCCATGCATGCCCACGAGGCGAGGAGGCGATATATCTATATCGCGAAGCTACGTCACCACCCGGCTCTAGGCGAGACGGCGGCGATGGGACCGAGGCAGGATGCAAACCATTAAACAACAGCTCGCGGGGTGATAGATGGGTCGCATGCCGATCGTTCTTGTTGGCGAGGCATTAAAACGCGTGGGTCCGGCTCGAGCTGAGGCTCGCATTTACACCTGAGCTTCGACCACCATCACCACCGACATCATCACCACCACCACCACCACCACCACCACCATCATCGCCATCAGCGCACGAGGTCCGAGCGACCGAGAACGCCGACCGGACCGAGGAAGAGCACACGATGGAGGGTGTCAGGGGAAAGCGGGAGACTCGGAGCCCCGGGACGTGGCCCGCAGTTAATTGCCAGCATTTAATGAGCGCTCTTTGACGCGCCGCGCGAACCGCCACGGTAAGAGTCGTAATGGCTGCAGCAGCGCTTTCCTGACGACTTCGCGTATCGTGTGTGCACCGGCACCGCACGCCTGACCAACGAGCAAAAATTGCCACTCCGCGAGAGTATTATCGGCCACCAACGATAATACCTTCGCACCGACGAAAACCGCTTCGAACGATTGAGATATTGGCGTGGCTAACTGCGCGAAGAACCACTTTAGCGGCATCGTTAGATTTCTTCTGAATTTTCCGGGGATCGAAAATAAAACGAGTCTCTTTAACAAATGGAATGAAGCGTGATGATTTTTCAAAGATAAAATTGGCACTTGTAATTTTTTTATAATTTTTTTTATCTCTCTCACTTCCTTCATCGAAAAGCAAATCGTTGCAAAATAGAATTCTTGTTCAATTCTACATCTACAGAGACCTTCACAAATAAAACAAGATAAACTTGCAACATTTCTTCAATTTTGTATGTAAATACAATATATACTATGTATACTATAAATATACGATATAACATATAACGTCATTGACAAATAAAAATTAATTTGTATTTTTACATATAAGGAAAAAATTCAACAGGAAACGGAAATAAAAGAAAATAAGGAACAATGTGAAAAAAAATACAACTCAGCAAAATTGGATAAATTATTATATCCATGTTTTCTTAATGGTGTCATTTATATCACTGATGTCGCCAGAAAGTTACTTAAATTGTGGTCAGCACAATGGCGCCGGCACAGTTGCAAAGCTTTATAACTGTGCCGCCATTTTTTCTGTAAGAGCTGTCGGCTCCGTAAGAGCAACCGACAAAAGCAGCACATTTTGATACTGACCACAATAGCGATCAATGAAAAACGTGTGTTGGCAAACTATGTATTCTACTAAAAAGGCAAACGACAATTGTTAAATTCATCTGCGGGAGCTACCCCGATCTTTTCTACCTGCGGTCAATTTGTGGTTTTCCTAAAAAGAAGTCGGACAGGAAGTTGTGTCTACAAAATAAAATAATAATAACAAAATGAAATATGATCGAAAATATTGTGTATTTTTCAAACAATATTTGTCGCAATTCAATTAACAATGATATTAAATCAATATTAGAATTTCTTGTTCAATGATATAAATGCAATAAAATGCATATACATAACAATTATATTGTACGTAGAAAAGTATTATATTGATATAATTATTGTGTTAGTGTTTATTAAAAATAAAATTCATATTTGAAAGTGGTAAACAAAAAGAGATGTTTATTTGTAATGATCTACTTGAAATTAACTACTTTTTACATTATCATAAAATAAATCATAAAATAAATGGTTTAATTTTAACGTAATAGTGATCATAATCATGACATTATACATATTTTATATTAAAAGCTATATTGAATTTCTAAAATTACATTCTTATTACACATTACATATATCTTAGAATTTATAAAATGTCTCAAAAGCTAGCATGGGAATGATAATATAATTTATAACAATAGTCGATATAATAACATTTGTTGATATATAATCAATATATTATAAAATGCGTAACACAAATATCAGAAAAATTATTATTTTAAAAATCATTTTTTTCTTCTATATAAAAAAATTAATTTAATACATTATTTACAAAATTATAATAAATCACAAAGACATAATATTGACTGATGGAAAATCATTAAAATGTCGAAAAAAGAAAAACAGTAATCTTCTCTATCTTCAGCTGTACAGAAGAAATACATATTATCTTCATTATCTTTTGAACGAAAAGATTATATTCAGAATGAAAAGATCATTATTATTATTAATACACATAAAATTGTAATAAAAATGATATTATATAAAGTATTATAAAACAATCCGTACCTATAAAATGCCGACATTAATAAAAAAATATATATTCATAAGATTTCATTTTTCCTGTAATAAGTTCACCAATATTCTCATAGATGGCGACATAAATATCTTCTTGATTGAAGAAATCGAATTACTCAATATTAATGAATCAAGAAGGTATTATAAAGTTATCACAATTTAGATTAGAACATTAACTTTTTCAAAAAGCAAATAATTTACAATGTTGGAAAAAAATAAATAATATTACAAATCTAAATTGATAAAATATTAGCAAAATGTTTCGTTTGATATTTCATTGCGTACATTACTATGAGTTAAAGATTAATACTTTTTTATAAAAAATATATTACTACTCTTTTTATATTATTAAAAAATTTATTTTAATATCTCTTTTTAGAAAATACCATATCAGTAAATACAATTTTAATATATATTTAAACAAGTAAAAAATTTATTGATAAAAACAATCTTCAAATAAATATTTTAAACATTAGGATTTATCAATAAATTAAGCATTCACAAAACTGAATTTAAAAAAAGTTTTATTACAAATTCTTAAATTATATAATACTAATATTGATTTTCTTATTGCTATCACAGATTAATCACTCACGAAGTTTATTTGATAACACCAAAATGTAAATCAACATAAATAATTATACATCGATAAGTTTTCTAAAATAATATTCTACAAATAAACTATGCTATAAAATTAATTACAACACTTTCTTTACATTAATGTAATAAAAATGTTTTAGAAGAAAAACTTGTAGCATAAGAAAAATTGTGTAGTAATGGATTATAATCAAAGTAATACGTATATATTTAATTCGTTGTAATAACACGCATGAAAATGTCGATACTAATCATCTATCTTTTAAAATACTTAAAGAATAAAAATAATTTTCTAACATCACAAATCTAATCGTAAGTAATAATCTGAATTAATTATAAAGATAAACTATTATCTACTGATTTAAAGCCAAGTACCAAAGTAACACAGAATAGCATATTATTTTATGATATCGCTTTTATGATCTTTTATCAATCTCTATTGGTTTAGGTATGATACACAGTGTATTGCAACCAGTAATTAACATAACGGAGATATTGGACATACTTTAAAACCTATGTAAATTATACATAGATAAATTATACATATATCTCATTCATCCTTTTAAATTATTAATAATACTTAAAAATAAAAAATTAAAAGTTATCAATTAAACATCTTTTAAACTTAATCCTGAATAAAAACTCTTATTTTGCTATAGATATATGTGTTTAATAACTTTTTTCCTCAGTTTCTTTATTTCTCGCGTTAACTTAATTGCAATCTATTAAAAAATATTTTACACTTGATACAATATACATGACATAAGAGAGATATACTGCCAGTTTTTAATTAAGTCTTTCAAATGATATAAAATTAATTGAAGAATAAATTTCCACGTGCTCTATTTATAATTATCAAATGAGAGAGAGAGAGAGAAAGAGAGAGAGAGAGAGAGAGAGAGAGAGAGAGAGAGAGAGAGAGAGAGAGAGTAGAGAGTAGTAGTAGT